TTCAATTCCCAGCAACCACATGGTGGCTCACAATCATCCGTAATGAGATCTGGTGCCCTCTTCTGGCCTGCAGGTATACATGCAGGCAGAACATTGTATACATAATAAATAAATAAATATTTTTAAAAAGCACATGCTTTTAATCCCAACACTTGGGAGGCAGAGGCAGGTGGATCTCTGAGTTTGAAGCCAGCCTGGTCTACAAAGCGAGTTCCAGGACAGCCAGGGCTACACAGAGAGACCCTGTCTCAAAGAAAAAAAAAAAAATCTCTTTCAGGTGAACCACAACTCTGTGCTTAGCCATAGAGCTCTAGATGTTCCCTTCTGCTAGGATTAGGAAAACCTCTGAGCTCGTGCACCCCTTACAGAACTGTTGACTTTTTCTTCATCCAAATGAAGAGATGAGGATGTTTTCCCAGATTGAATGTGCCCTGGAGTCACAGACTGATGCACTCAAACCCTTTAATCTTCAGCACTCATGGTCCTGACCTTGCGGTGAGAGCAGCCTTCTGCTTTGCTTAGACAAGAGTGCAGCTGGCAAGTGCCTGGGCATGGAGGTCAGAGTTCATCAAACGGACCAGCCAATCAGAGGCTCCTCAGCTCTACCTGAGTGTTCTCATTTCCTGTGCTGTAGATAAATTTCTAAGTGGTCTTATTAAATAAGAACACGGAGTCAAATATAGGGGTGAAAGCCTTAGAGGTCAGGGAAATAGTGAGAGCCACCAACCTTACCCCTCCAGCTGTGTGGCTAGTAAAAAGGAGTGACTTCCTCTCTACCCGCACCTTTATTGCCTTGCTATTCTGCCCTTTCATTGGCTCTTAGCCCAGCTACGTCACTTCCTTGTCACGGCCTGTCTGTACAGACCTCCAGGTCTCTGTGGTTGGTACTGGGATTAAAGGCGTGTGTCACCACACTTGGCTGTTTCCTAGTGTGTTCTTGAACACACAGAGACTCTGCCTGCCATGTGATCTGATTAAGGGCGTGTGCTACCACTGCGTGACTTTTGTGTTCACCAGCTTGCTATTTCCTCTGATCTCCAGGCAAACTCTATTAGCACGCAAATAAAATATCACTACACTTTGCCCTTCAATGAAGAAGTCTACTCTGGTGGTGCTTACACAACTATCAATCTGAAGTCATCCTTGGTGAAGGACAGGTGTGTTCTGAGCAAGGAATGAAGGACAAGGCTAATGCAGTCCTTGGTTCATGAAGTCCCACTAGCCTTTCTGCCTTAAAGAAACCTCGCGTGTATCATTACATTATTATTATTATTAATATTACATCTTATTTATTTGGTTGGGAGAGGGGCACGTTCATATCATGGCCAGTGTGTGTCAGTCAAAAGACAGCTTGCAGGAGTTGGTTCTCCCTTTCCACCATGTGATCCCATGAATTGAACTCAGGTTGTCAGGCTTGGCGGCAGGTGCCCTTAGGCACTGAACTGTCTCCCCAGCCCACATCAGGTACTTCTGATGACTGCTCCCTTCATTCCTTTCCTTTGCCCTCTCTTTACACATCAAGAAGACAACCATTTCTTTAAATGACTTCCTTCTTTTTTCTGCAGGCAAACCAGAGCCCCTGGTGTTCCACATTCCTCAGTCCTTTTTTGATGCCTTGCAACAGAGAATATCCATAGGAAGTGCAAAAAAGCGGCTCCCCAACTCCACCACAGGTGCGGAGTCTCCCTGGGAAGACCAGTGGCAATTGTGACCTTAGAGAACTATGTGTAGAAAAATCTACAAGGGACTTTCAGGGTTAGCAAGTCTGGGCATGTTACCAGAGCATGAAACCTACAATAATTAGCTCTTAGAACAGTGGCCAACCCTCCAAAGGCAGATACTTTTTCCAGTAAGAGTGAATGAAAACATTCAGGAGATGTAAACCTTGTAAATGACTAGCAAAGACTGTTTGATACTTGTAGGTCTGGTACAGTTTTCACAAAAACATCTGAAGCCCCAGTAGCCAAAACTTAAAGGGACATTAATAAATATGTCATCAGTATGCAAATGGACGTAGGGTTCCACTCTCTCAGACATGATTTCCTATCAGCATCTTTGGGAGTATTTGTGTTAAACTGACAGTCCAGAGGGGAGCTTTCCAAAAACTTTGGTCTGGAGGAAACATTTGCAGTAGTACATTAAGACTATATTTTTGTGCGGTGTTGTTGTTGTGCACCTTTTTTCTCCGCGCTCTCGGGGGAGGGGCGTGTGTCTCTGTGTGTTTTTGGGGCGCGTGTTGTCTACAGTGTGTTTTCGAGCAGCGCGGGGTCTTTTACAGAGAGACCCTGTCTGGAAAGACAAAATGATAAATAATAACAATAATATAATTCCAACCTGGCATGGTGATGCACACACAACACTCAGGAGGCAGAGGCAAGCTGTTCTCTTGAGTTTGAGGCCAGTCTGGTCTGCAGGACAGCCAGGGCTACACAGAGGAAACCCTGTCTCAAAACACAAAACAAAAAATAGAATATAATTCCTTAGCAAATCCTGTTAGAATGAGCCTCCACCGATCAGATTAGAACTTCAGAAAGCTTATGT